CACCAGGCTGGGGTGGGACAGGGCAGCCCTTGGCCGTGGAGATGGAGAGAGCCAGCAGGCGGGGGCTGGTGAAGTCTGCCAGACGATCGGGGAACCACGGCAGGAAAAGCCCGCCCGCGCGCTCTGAATGGCAAGAGAGGAGGGACACACCTCGTGCCAGGGACGGGGCGAGGCCGCAGGCGTTGAGAGCGTGGCCAACTGTTTTCAGGAGAAAGTCCACGGGTTCCCGTACAAAGTGGAAAAGGTCGGGGGGAGGGCAGAGACGTGGACTGCGACTTTGGAGACCTATCAATACTTCAGCGAGTGGGTGTGGGGAGGTCATCCTTCCGCAGACCGCTCTTGGGAGAAGAGGCCCTGGAGGCTGACCTCGGCCTCCTTCCCCAAGGCCGGAGCTGAGGAGTCTGAGGGAGCCAGAGGCACAGGAAGAGGCCACGGCAGCATCTCCGGCGCGGTCCACGGCTGGACTTCCTGCTTCAGTGAACTCACTAGTCAGTTTCTACGTCTCCCCAGATCAGCCATCTGGGCCTCACGGGGCCGAATGTTCCCTGAGGGTTAAAGAACCGGGAAACAGCAAGAAAACAGACAGACCTGCCACGGGGCAGCCGTGAGGACACACAGGCCCTGAGGAAGGAGGGCGGGAGAGGTGGAACAAGAGGCCTGTGAGGTCCGGGAGGCCCCTGAGCCCGAAGGCACCCAGTGACCTGCACACAAAGACGCCCTGACTTGGGGTTGCCCCCCAGGGCAGGATGGCTTAACTGGTCATGAGTCCTTTTCCGCCAAGACCTTTACTTTCTGTTTCCCAGGTAACAAATCCCCAGAAGAATTCTTACCACGGAAGTTGGGGTGATAAGAGCCATGGTGTCCAAGATGCCATTTGCCTGTACAAAAACAACAGAGGTATTAGCTGGGCGTGGTGACTCACGCCTATAATCCCAGCACTCTTGTAGGCAGAGGTGAGAGGACTGCCTGAGCCCAGGGTTTCAGACCCGCCTGGGCAACTTGGCGAGACCTCATCTCTACAATGAATCAAAAACAGCCGGGCGTGGTGACACACGCCTGTAGTTCCAGCTACTTGGAAGGCTGAGGTGGAAGGATCACCTGAGCCCAGCAAGCAGAGGCTGCGGTGGCCATTAGCGTACCACCGCCCTCCAGCCTGGGCAACAGAGTGAGACTCCCACTCAAAAATAAAAAAAAAAGAAAGAAAAACAAGAGGGGTTTTCAGAGGAGTCCCCACAGGGCCCTGAGACCCTCTGAGGAGCTGAGCACGCACTCAGGTCTCCATCGTCTTGCCCTGAGGACAAGCAAAGAGATGCCACAAATGCGGTGTGCAAGCCAAGCCTCACTCTCTGGACCAGAGGGCAGCCCCAGAAAGATAGAAAGCAAGCAAGGATAGCCACAGGCCTGTGCAGGAAACCACAGTGAGAAGGAAAGACAGGCCACCCCCAGGAGTTCAGAGAAGCCAGCAGGCTGAGAATCTGCCCTCAAAGAGGGTACCAAGGCCAGGCGCAGTGGCTCAGGCCTGGAATTCCAGCACTTTGGGAGGCTGAGGCAGGAGGACCCTGGAGGCCAGAAGTTCAAGACCAGCCTGGAAAACACAGTGAGACTCTGTCTCCATAAAAAATAAAAGTAGCTGAGTGTGGCGGCTCATGCCTGTAATCCCAGCATTTTGGGAGGCGGAGGCAAGAGGATTGCCTGAGCTCAGTGGTTCAAGACCAGCCTGGGCAACTTGACGAGGCCTCGTCTCTGCAATAAATCCAAAAAGCTAGCTGGGTGTGGTGGCACACGTCTGTGGTTCCAGCTATTTGGAAGGCTGAGGCAGAAGGATCACCAGAGCCCAGCAGGTAGAGGCAGCGTTGGCCGTGAACCTGCCACCGCATGCCAGCCTGGGTGACAGAGTGAGACTCCTACTCAAAAATAAATACATAAATACATATTTGCTGGTGTGGTGGCACAAGCCTGTCGTCCCAGCAACTCAGGAACTAAGGCAGGAGGATCACTTGAGCCCAGGAGTTCGAAGCTGCAGTGAGCTGTGATTGCACCACTGCACTCCAGCCTGAGCAACAGAGCAAGACTGTGTCAAAAAAAAAAAAAAGGAGGATTCCGCAGCCATGGCAACCCACACGGCCACGGCATTCTCCATTGGCCTCTCCGCTGGGCCCTGGGGAGGCTCTGGCGACCCAGGATGCAGGTGCGCCACCCCACACTGATGCCCAAGTGCCCGTTTCTGCCTGGTTTCATCATCTTCCTCTCCAGTCAATGTCAGCAGCCCACAGTTCACGCACCGAGTCAACTACAGACAGCAAATGAGGAAACTGGATGCCTGCAGCTCCTGCCCTGTCCATGCGCTCAGTCGGAGATAATTGGGCAGTGTGTGGTAGGAACTCTGACGGTGTCGGAACCTCTGATCTGCTCCTTCCGCTCGGAGGAGCAGACCCCAGGGAGCCTCGCCCACAGGAAGAGGGCAGAGAAGAATGTGGTGCAGAAACTGACAGCAGCACTGACCCACTCAAAGGGGGCATGTCAACCGGCAGCCACAGGAGTGGGCCTGCGGAAGTCATTCGACGTGGCCTCCGTAAAACACTACAAAGGATCCTTTAAAGACATGCAGGCAGCCAGGCTCGGTGGCTCAGCCTGTAATCCCGCGCCTTTGGGAGGCGGAGGTGAGTGGATTGCCTGAGCCCGCGGGTTCGAGACCCGCCTGGGCAGCAAGCCCTCATCTCTACAATAAATCAAAAAAGCAGCCGGGCGTGGTAGCGCGCACCTGTAATTCCGGCTACTGGGAAGGCTGAGGCGGAAGGATCGCCGGAGCCCGGCAGGTCGAGGCTGCGGTGGCTGGGAGCGGCCACTGCACTCCAGTCTGGGTGACAGAGTGAGACTCCGACTCAAAAAAAGAAGACATGCAGGCTGGGTGCAGTGGCTCAAACCTGTCATCCCAGCACTTTGGGAGGGCGTGGTGAGGGGATGACCTGAGCCCACGGGTTCGAGAACAGCCTGGGTAACTAAGCAAGACCTCGTCTCTACAATCAATCAAAAAATTAGCAGGGCATGGTAGCGCATGCCTGCAGTCCTGGCTACTTGGAAGGCTGAGGTGGAAGGGTTGCCGGAGCCCGGAGGGTCGACACTGGGGTGGCCGTGAGCGTGCCACTGCACTCCAGCCCGGGTGATGGAGTGAGACTCCTACTCAAAAAAAAAGTTGAGGGAAATGGGTTGTTATGTAGAACAAGTGTTCCATGGGAATATAAAAGCCATTTTGTGAAATTACAAAGCTGCGATGCATGTGCTCGATTACGACCACGGGGAAATAGAACGCAAAGGGAGAAAACAAGGCCGAGTGACACATCCACAACCAGGTAAAACGCCTCAGCATGGACCAGGATTAGAAGCAGAGGGTGAGTGCTGTGCCCCGTGGCCCTCTGGTGGGTTTTTAATTTTCCTGTACGTGAGCTTTCGCTCCTCGTTGCAGTGACTGGCTGTGCTTGAGACTCCTGTCCAGGATGTGCACCAGGTGTGGTGAGCGCTGGGGCAGGGCGGGGCGTGGCAGGACAGGGCGGAAGCTCACCGGGCAACCTGCTCTCTGCGGCTTACTCTGCATCAAAGGCAGGAAGCAGGGCAGATAAGACCAAGTCCAGCCCGGAAGAAGCCAGCCCCCTGCCGCAGCCTAGGGTCTGAGGGGACGGCAGCCCTAGGCCCAAACCCCTGCTGGCTGTGAGGTGGGCATGGACGTGTCTGAAGGTCTACCCAGGAGAGCCAGCCCGCAGTGGGGAGTTCCACGGATGGGGTCATGCTGGTGATGGCCTTGGCACGATAAGCCCTCAGGGAATGAGGAGGAGCGGATGGACAGAGAGAAGGCCTGGAGCCCTAGCTGGCCTCTCCCACTGCCCAGGGCTTTTACTTGGGATAACGAGCGCCACACTCCAGGTGGGCGTCTGTAAAGGGAGGCTGGCTTCTGACCCAGAAGAGGGTGTTCAAGCAGTCTGCCTGAACGGCCTCGCGCAGGACGAGCCCACGGCTGCCTGTTTGCCATCGCTTGCATGGTGGAGAGAGACAGGGATCCCGCAGGGCCCAGCACTTGGAGAGTCAGACTGGCAAGCACAAGCAGTTGAGGACACTGTGGGGGCCACCGGGCTGTGCTGGTCCCGGAGGCGAGACCCACAGTGAAGCGAAGCCACAGGCCGAGGCTAGATGCACGTGTCTGGATGCGGTCTCCTCCAGCTCCAGCTAGGCAACCCGGATAGTGTCTTCACTGGCCTCAAACTCGGCTCGCTCTCAAATGCAGCTGGGGAAATAATCACCTCCACACAAAGAAACTCCTAGCCCAGTACCTGGCACATGATGAGAGCTGAGTCAGTGGTGCCTCCAAAAAGGTTTCAAGGAAAGGAAGTCACTGGACAATGTGGAAGACATGGCGGTGTCCATGTCAATCCTGGTATTAGAACGGGGGCTCTGCTCGGGGGGGGTGGCCATGCCCGAGTCAAAGTCAACCGTGACAATTGCGTCCAGTGTCTCTGCCTGGGGTGCGGCAGGGGGTGGCCATGTGACCCAGCTCCGTCCAATAAGCTTTTTTCTGAACTGAAATGGGATCTCGCTATTTTGGCCGGACCCGGCAGCGACCTCCTGGGCTCAAACGAACCTCCTTCCTCAGCCTCCCGAGTAGCTGGGACTACAGGCGTGCAGAAGGTTTAGGTGCAGTTCTGCCAGGGATTGGGAGAGTGTCTGGCCAAAGACTTTTTTCCCTGATAAGAGTGGGCAAAGGAACTGTCACTGCTTCTCCTCTCTTCTTTCCTTGAGCCAAATGATAGCGGAGGGCCCTGGCATCGAGGCAGCAATGAGAGGACAGACACCAACAAGCCAAGGGCGGACAGGTCAGGGCAGCTGGCTCCTGAGCCCCCACGAACGGCGGACCGAGGACGGCAGCAGCTACATTGAGGAGGGTCGTACTGAGAGGAAAATGGCTCCCTGTGTCAATTCACCCCTCGGTCTTTTCAGCTGCGACAGCTGAGAGCCTCCCTGACTACACCGCGAAGAAATGAACAAGCAAGCAGACAGGGCGAGAGGCAGCCGGGCCCAGACTCACCTATCATCGCGGTGGCGTAGCCCGCCTGCTGCAGCGCCTCAGCCAGGGTGGTCTCGTTGAGCGGAAGGCCCCCCACGGAGGTGACTGCAAAGTTGCGCGTGACTCCCTGGCGGAGGCCCAGCCGGCCGGTGAGCAGGGAGGCCCGGGAGGGCGAGCAGGTGGAGGCGGCTGCGTGGAAGTCCACAAACCTGCGCGGAGGGGCAAGGGGTCAGGACCCTCCAACCACAGGACACCAGCCAAGAGAAGAGCAACTCCCGCCCAGGCCCTGGGATTCCGGTACCAGGAGAAAGCTCAGAGGTCACCCAGGTACAGGGTTGGTGAGGAAAATGAAACCCAGAGAGGTGCTGCAACTAGTCCGAGGTCACACAGTTAATTCAAATTGATTTTTTTTCTTGAATTGGAGTCTCACTCTGTCACCCAGGCTGGAGTGCAGTGGCACGCTCACGGCCACTGCGGCCTCGACCTGCTAGGCTCGGGTGATCTTTCCACCTCAGCCTTTCAAGTAGCTGGAACTACAGACACACACCACCATGCCCAGCTGTTTTTTAAAATTATTATTTATTTGTAGCGATGAGGTCTTGCCAAGTTGCCCAGGCTGGTCTTGAACCCATGGGCTCAGGCAATCCTCTTGCCTTGGCCTTCCAAGTGCTGGGATTATAGGCATGAGCCACCAATGCCCAGCCCATTCAAACTGATTTAATCCAACATATTCAGACAATATCCTTCAAATTATTTATCTATTTATTTTGTAGAAATGAGGTCTTGCCATGCTGCCCAGGCCAGTCTCAAGCGCTTGGCCTCGAGTGGTCCTCTGGTCTCAGCCTCCCAAAGAGCTGCGATTACAGCTGTGAGCCGCCATACTCCATCCTCCTCAATCCTCTTTATTCACAGATTGCATATTTCAAATATGCCTACCTGCTAAAGTTGTATTTTTTTAGTCCCAAAATCAATACTCAGGGCTCTTTAGAGTCATTCACAGATATCAGCAAACCTATAAAAAACTTGAGTCACCCAATATACACATTCCCAGGGAAGCTCAAGCAAGGTGACCCTCTGCCTTCTTGTTCCAGCCCTCAGACAAATGTCCTCCTCACAGTCTTCTTAGCATCACGATTTTTGCATTTTTATGCTTTTGCTGATTTCACTGTGGAACATGGTCACCAAGAGTAGTGCTGAAGTGCTGTGTTGTGGTCCTGGGAGCCGAAAGGCTTTGCTGGGCCATACAGAGAAAGTGTGTGGGCCAGGCGTGGTAGCTCCCACCTGTAATCCCAACATTGGGAATGCCGAAGTGGGAGGACTGCTTGAGCCCAGGAGCTCAAGCCCAGCCCGGGCAACTCAGTGAAGCCTCATCTCTACAAAAATTCTTTTTTAAAAAAATTAGCTGGGCATGGTGCCACATGCCTGTAGTCCCAGCCGCATGAAATGCTGAGGTGGAAGGATCACTTGAGCCCAGGAGGAAAAAACAAAAACAAAAACAAAAACCCCAGAAAATGTGTGTGCTAGACGAGCTTTCTTCAGAAATGAGATACAGTGCTGTTGGCTGTGAGTTCAATGTTGATGAATCAAAAATATATATCAAATAAAGTGTCCTTAAACAGAAACAGAAAATGTTGTGACCAGAGGCACATAGGTACCTAGTCCTATATTTCTCCTAGGAGCAAAGGTTCAATATTCGCTAATTCAGTGTTCACAGTGGCTTCACAGAACACAAATATTGCCAGTAACAAGAGTCGGCTGAGTCTATTATGTATTACTGTACGCCCAGCCCTTCTTTAGACGTTGTAGATAAATACACACCTCACCATTGTCCTGCTCTCAAAGAAGGTGCAGAAGCAAGACACTGAGAAGCAAGCTGAGCAAATTCCGGTTGCAACAATATACAATATTATGCAATTAAGACCTCAGAGGGGCGTCAGAGCCATGGAGACAGAGATAAGGAACACTGTAGGACTGAGACGGGAGAAAGAACTTGGTGAAGGTCCAAGGTCCAGAGAAATCTCCATAGAGGAAGCAGGACAGAGGCCGGAATCTAAAAAATGGGGTTCTTGGATCCCTTTGGAAATTGCAAGGACAGGCATTCCCAGTGGAGGAACAGCAAGATATCCTTACTCTTGCTAAAGGGATATACCAGAAGCTAATTTTTTAAAAAGTATCTCACAAGGGGAAGGAGAAACGACATGTGGTGGGTGGAATGCAAGATTCTGGGATATGCTGTAATATGGTTTGACTTTTGCACCATGTAAATGTTTGACATGGTCAAAAAATAAATTTTTTTTTTGAGTCAGAGTCTCACTCCATCGCCCAGGCTGGAGTGCAGCAGCACGCTCATGGCCACTGCAACATCGACCTGCTGGGCTCCGGCGATCCTTCCACCTCAGCCTTCCATGTAGCAGGAACTACAGGCACACGCTCCTGTGCCTGGTTAACTTTTTCTTGTAGAGACGAGGTCTCCAAGATGTCCAGGCTGGTCTCAAAATCGCGGGCTCAGGCAATCCTCTCGCCTCGGCCTCCCAAAGTATTGGGATGACAGGCTGAGCCACTAAGCCTGGACAAAAAGTAAAATTAAACCACAAAGGAAAAACGAGCAGGTCTTATAATTTAAAAAAAAAAAGCTGAAACAAATGAATCCAACTATCTAACACACTGCTAATATGACCACACAGAGGAGAGAATCACTTCAAGCAACATCAGCACCCAGGATTCTGGATGTACTGCATTCTTGGTGCGACACAGTCTAAGGACAAAAAGAACTACAAGGGAGGTTTCCACTTCACTCAGTAGCTGTATCTGGTGGCAATACGCGTACTGGTATTCTGAAACTATGTATTACACATGGTAGAGGAAAGCAAATAAGTAACTACACTAATGTGCCTAATTAGCGACCAAGATTTTCTTTTTTCTTTTCTTCTTTTCTTTTCTTTCTTTTTTTTTTTTTTTTTTTTGAGTTGGAGTCTCAGCCCATCGCCCAGGCTGGAGTGCAGTGGCACGCTCCCGGCCACCACAGTCTCAACCTGCTGCTGGGCTCAGAAGATCCTTCTACCTCAGCCTTTCAAGTAGCCAGAACCACAGACGTATGCCACCATGCCCGGGTAATTTTTTGATTTATTGTAGAGATGAGGTCTCACCACGTTGCCCAGGCTGGTCTCGAACCCGTGGGCTCAGGCGATCCTTTCGCCTCTGCCTCCCAGAGTGCTGGGATGATGGATGACAAGCATGAGCCACCGCTCCCGGCAGGGACCAAGATTTTCAGTGTAAGAGGTAAAGATATAAAACAAAATAAGAGGCTGGGCATGGTGGCTCGCGCCTCTAATCCTGGCACTTTGGAAGGCTGAGGCGGCAGACTGTTTGAGCCCAGGAGGTCGAGATCAGCCTGGACAGCATAGTGAAACTTCATCTCTACAAAGAAAAAAATTAGCCAGGCAGGGTGGTGCGTGCACGGAGTCCCAGGTACTCAGGATGCTGAGGTGAAAGGATCGCCCAAGCCTTGCTGTGAGCCATGGTCATTGTGATCATGCCACAGCACTCTGGTCTGGGTGAGAGAGTAAAACTCTGACTCAAATAAATAAGTAAATAGTGAAGAGAAAACCTATAATGTTAAAATTCATATGAATGTCATTATAACTAATGACTTAGAAAAATATTTAGCACTGACCACACCTATGCCCCAAGCTTTGTTTTAAACACCATCCTGCAATAAAAGGAATCAGACCTCCTTGGAGAAATAGCCACTTCCAGGTTTGCGGAAGAAGAAGTGGAGTCTGGGACATCTTGTGATGCCCGGAAGCTGGGCCAAGAGCCTGTTTCAAGATGCTCCTGCTGGCCAAATTTGGGGCAATGTGGGCATCTGAAAGAATAATTACTGTAATTGATTGTAAGCCATGAATAAACGAAAATCCATGAATCCACGTTGATACTCAAAAAAGGCATTTGTCATCATTGGAGGAAAACATTTTACCAACTCGCCACTCCCAAAATGTGTAATTAAAGGGAAAGAATTAAAAATTTCTCCGGATGCTTTAGGATGACCCATCGTGAGGGGATCAGGGAAAGCACTCCTTTACAGAAGAATGACAGCCAGCATGCATGGAAGGATGGTAGACTTAGGAAATCACCATTTTTTGCAACTCTTCCCCCCAGACTAATAACTGAACCAGCGGATGTGCTGGAAGTGCGGGCTCACAGTGTCACCCTTGGGTCACTCATGAATTGGACAGAGCTGTCTATCACCACCTTATAAAGTGATTAAATTTAGTGTCACTAAAAACGTCTGACCTCGTAAGTCTCCCGGTGGGATAAAATGTGAAGTCTGTAAAATCAAGGATTTTTGCCAAAAACATTTAACCTGAATCTAATCAAACCCATGAAACTAATGTCCAGGTTACAGGAAATACAGCTCATAGAAAAACAAATTAAGCCGGGCTCAGTGGCTCAGCCTGTCATCCCGCGCCTTTGGGAGGCTGAGGTGAGTAGATTGCCTGAGCCCGCGGGTTCGAGACCCGCCTGGGCAGCAAGACCTCATCTCTACAATAAATCAAAAAATCAGCCGGGCGTGGTAG